TACGTAGCATAAATAAAGTTCATAACAAATGTTGATGGACTTATGATAACTCAAGGTTAGGAATGGATAAATCTATCAAAAATAGTGAAATACCGATTTACCGTACCGTATCATATTGAAAATATCAAAAAATTTGGTATACCAAAATTTTCGGGAGGTATCAGTACGCTATCGGTTTGAATTTTCAGAAATTCAGTATTTTGGTATTATACCATACAGATAATATTTTAATTAAATAATTTAATTATTAATATAAGTGATTAATTTTTCTTTTTTTAAAAAAAAGGAAAATCTTTAACCCACTTCACAAATACAAACCGTGGTAGCAAAAAAAAATCCTAATTCTCTATTCTATTTTTCCTTTATTCTTTATTCTTTCTTCAATTTCTATGCCTCTTTTACTTCTTTTCTTCTTCCTTCTCCATCCTTCTTCTTTCTTCAACTTCTTCGCCTTATTATGTCCTTCTTTCTTCGACTTCATCGTCTACTTCTATTCTTCTTCTTCTCCTCTTTCCCCCTTCTTGCTACTTCTACGTTGCATCTTGCTGGAAGTCTAGAACATCTGTGGTCATCACTGTGATTGTCAATTGGACTCGTTCCGAATCGGATCCGATTTACTTTTTTTGAATCTGGAACCTCATATGGATACCGGATCCATACCCGAATCTAAATCTGTGTTATATAGTTATGGATCTGGTATTTCTAGTTCCGATCCGGAACCGATCCCAATTCGGCTGTTTATATATATACTATTATTTATTAATGTACTTATATAATTATATGTTTTGTATACGATGTTAGATAGTTTAAATGATTTCTTTGGTATTATAATGATATTGTTAATTAGATATTCTTTATATTTAAATTAAAAATATATATTGATTAAATCTAAATGTTGATTTTTTTGTAAATATTGATAAATTTTATGCATTGATCTGAACTTGAATTTAAACCTAATTTATTGAATATTAGACCCAGATCCTAACCGGACCGGACCAGAACCGACGGGACAGGATATGGTCATTATTTTTAAAGCTCCGATGGATTCAATTCCGGATCCGGGAACCGTAATGAGTGGTCGAATCCAGATCTGAAATTTCCAAATCCGGATCGGATCCGACCAATTGATAGGCCTAGTCATCCACCGTTGTTATTTCGTCGTTCTTTGGCGGAGCAGGGGTAAGGTCTTTTTTGAATTTTTTAAAACAAATTTTGGTAAGCAGTGTATACTGGATTCATACAAAAAAATTTAGAATATGAATTTTTAGTATAAACAGTATATACAGGTACAGTACCAAAAATTGCGGTATGTCAAATGTTTCGGTACGGTACCTGTATATATGTCTACCATACCGAACTTTTCGGTACGGTATGCGATATGGTTCAAAATTTTCGATTTGATACGGTATGTCATCCCTACTCAATGTCACACTTCAGTGTTTATTCTATGTGTAGCATTCTACTTAATAACGTATGTGAATATTTCAACAATTTTATTCTTGATGCAAGACAAGCTTATAATTTCTATGCTAGAACATATACAAAATTTGTTGATTGTTAGAATGCAGTTAAACGGTTAGAAAACAGAAAATTTAAATGATTCCATCGGCCTAAAATTATGAGAATTGAGAAAGAAAAATATGAAAAAAGCCTTGGAGTTCATTCCAACGAAGAACAATGAGCAAAACTTTCAAATTATTGGTTTATTGGACCAACACACAGTATATAAAAGATAGGTCTTGAAGTTGTAAAAAATGAAGTTTAACTGGCATCCCTTACAAACATGCAATATCCGCGATATAATATAGGGTAATCCATTGAATTATATTTTATTGTCTCTGCATACATAAAAACATATGTATTTGTGATCCTCTGTTAGGGTGGAAGGAGGCCATGCCAGGCCAGATTTTGCCTAAATAGGTCAGTTTCAAAAATATTTGGCCTAAGTTTGGTCTATAAGCCTGATTTATTTTTTTTAAAGTCTGAGCCTAGTTTTTTTTAAAAGTCTGATTTCGCCTACAAGCCTATTTAAAAAACTACATAATATTTTTATTTATTTATTTATTTATTTGCAAATTTAGTATTAGAATTAAAAAAAAAAAAGTTCATACAATTATTTAATATATATAAAAGTTAAAAAAATTCTAGTTTTTATAATAAATTTATAATTAAAATTAGATAGAAAGTTATTTTAATATATAATAATAAAATATTTTTATAAAAAAAAATAATAATTAATAGGCCGGTTTGTTAATTAAAAAGACTTTTATTTAAGCCTAAGTCTGTTCTATTTATATAAAAAAGCTTTAAAAAAAATTTTGACCTAACTTTTTTAATAAATAGATCAGGTCAGGCTAGGCCTTATGTAGGCCAGTCCGTAGGCCCCTGAAAGGCAGCCCGACCTATTCTTATCCCTACCTCCTGTTAAGTAGGCCCGACTTATAAGAAAAAGATGAGAAAAATGTATTTAGCATAATAGAGACAATGATGAGGAAAGAATTTACAAAAGGTCGGAGGTCATTACAACCTACGATGCGCAATGTTCATGTCCAACTCAACCCTCTCAAGCCTCTCTTAGGCATGATTAACATCTCGGTCATTTTTATTCTCCTTATTTGATACCCAGGCTTGGGCCGGTGCTAGGTCAGCTTTCGTGTATGGATAAGTCAACGCTAGGTGATCCAAGATTGAATATAAATTAAGTGATTGAATAAACTATTGATGTCAACAATGTGCATATTCTTTTTTCGGAAACCTTGCTGAAAGAATTATAGAATTATGTGTGTTTGCCCTAGAGTAATTAAAGGATGAGTGACCCCCCGACTGGTAGGGAAAAACACAACACGTGAATCAAATATTCGACAAAAAATGACTTCCATAAGGTAATGTAATAACCGGAAATATCTAAGTCAAAAAATAATTTTTACATTATGTTTGTTGTAGTAACTGAATATATTTTTTACCTTATTATGTTATGCATGTATTGTTGATTCCTTCTTCAACTAGAACTATTCATACAAATGTCATTGTAAAATTTCTAAGTAACTTCATAACCTTGTCAAATATAAGATTTTATATCTCAATCAAAATGAACAATGGACATATTTCAATTGTGATACGAATTTGATAGCCATAAATCGCATGCGTTAAATATTTATATTATTTGCGATATTTAGTTGATTTTGATTAGATTCTACCTGATTTGGCATATATTATTTATTTATAATTTGCAGGAGAAAAATAATAAAATTGATATAATTAGTGGAAAAAGAGAACAAAAAGGTCCAATGCCCAATTGTTACAAAATTAGGGCAAATATAAAGTAAAGAAAGAAGGGGAGACGCCACTTTATACCACTTGCCGAGAAGAACACCGTGCAGAAGAGTCCCAGAGAGAAACCGTGCAAGGACAAGAAGAAGAAAGATTCTTTCCAAGAAGATTTCGAGTTCTACCCCTACCAACATCATTATGTTTATCTTTGCTTCCTATATCTTTGTTCTTCCTCCTATGATTAGCGAGTAGTTTACCTTTCTAGTCTAGGAGTGGAAAACAATTTGGTATGGCTTTGGGAGATTAGACTTGTTTTGATTTATGAGATTTCTTTGGTTCATAAGTATTTCTGTGGTTTCTGATTTCTTTGAGTTATAATATTTTATTTGATTGGGTATTGTGGCAAGATATTTCAATTGGATTAACGATTAATTGCTAAACTAAATTAGGCGTCCGTAATTGCGTTCTAATTTGGTTCAAGTAGCAACTAGTGGCAGACACCATTAGGAAATCACGGAATCAATTTCGAATTAGGCTCTTCTAGTTCGCAAGGCAGTTAGGCTAGTAAATTCTTTATGGCTTCACTAGGATTTACCTAGACTGTCAAGAAATTAATGAAAAGTTGTCAATTTCATTCCTAGCAGCGTGTGGCAAACGCCTGTCACAATTCAAATACACATTTAGATTAGATGGTAAACCTACGGTCGAATCTAATAACCTAAAAACTAGGTCCGTCGAGGGTTTGAACCCCTAATCTCATGGTCACGAGTCCACCTTCACACCACCAGATGATCTCTTGCAAGAGAATTGATACTTTAATAGTTGATTGTGTGGTTGTTGAGATTGATATTGTCTTGGTGCATTTTGTTGGCTTAGTAGGTTGAATTTAATTGTGATATAGATATGTTAGTGCAACTTTATTATGGATTGATGGCTTTGCGCAATAAAATTTTCTGGATTGATGAGGTAGGAATAGGATTGGATTTATGTTAGTGCAAGTTTAGCTACAAGCGTATTAGATGATTTGCATGCGACTACATGTTACATATTTAGTAAAATTAAACTCCCGTCTAATGCTCTTTAATAACGGTTTCTTGCACCACAACATACATAATATATATATATATATATATATTATGTAATGTAAAAAAGATGTATAGATAATATAAAATTTTTAAATATATAATTAAAAAAAAATACGCAACTCGCCTGAAAAAGGATATGGAGAGTCCCTCCTCGTATTCGTTCGTTCCGTTATTGCTTTAGCGGGCACTACAAGACAAATTAGTGCTACTATATTCTTAATAGCGGGTTGTTGCACTTACAACCGAAATGGAAACCGAGCATTTCGTGGTTCAAAAATGTCGAATCTCGTCGTGTCATGGATTAGCGTAGTTTCTTGACCTATCAAAAAGCTCGATTCTGGGCCATATGTCCTCTTCTCCTTCGGACCCTTGTTTGAATAAATTAATAGTTTTTATTTAATATAATTTTTTAAAATGAATAATAATATTAAGAAGCAAAATCCACATCTAAACATACCAATTATATACTTCACCATGCAGTATAAAATATTTGTATAATTTTTTAAAACACTAATAAAAATATTTTTGTTATTTTTTTCTAATGTATATTTTTATATAATAATTAATATTAAAAAATCAATACGTATAAAAAAAAATAAATGAGAACCGAACAAAAATAATATTAAAGTAATATTTTGTGAAATATTTTGTGAGAATTTTTATTTTTTATTTATCTATTAAAAAGCACATAGTTTAAACAGAAATTTAAGAAAAGAAACATATCCCCGTATCCTTAATTAAATATTCTGGCTGGAGATCACCCAAAACCTTGAAAGATACATACACACATATATATTAAATCACTTTTTCCCACCTCTTTTTCTTGGTTTCTTATTTTTCTTCTTCTTCTTATTCCGCTGCTGAACACTGCTGCATTCTTCTTCATCTTCTTCAACCTCAACAGCAGCAGCAGCAGCAGCAGTAGTTCTACTTATGTCGTCTTCATCTTTCTGCCTATCATCGTCTTCACCACCAACACTGCCACTGATACATTCACCATGACTCGCTGCATTATCAGCCTTCGATTTCGATTCCACAATGCAGCTACTGCTGCTGTCACAAACCGGAGGAGAAGGAGACGGAGACGGCAGCTCGACATCAATTCTCCGAGGAAACAGTTCTCTTACAGCCTCGCCACTTGTCTTAAACGACTCGAGTTCGATTGGAATCGCGTCCTTAGGACACAACGATTTCGGGCAATCCCCAGTCACGGAAACTACCACAAGAGGATCCCCGACAGACTCGAACGCTGCCGCAACTGCAGCCACCTTGGACGCGTCGTCGCCTATCCTCCACCAATTACACAGCAAATTGCAAAATTTATTCGGCAGCTGCGATCTGATGTAAGGAAGTCTCAGCAGCTTAAGAACCGCAGGTACGTTAAACCCCGAGTTCAGACATAGAAGAAGGAGAATCACAAACAACCTCAGCAGCAGGACAGGAAAATAGTACTTGCAGTTGATGCCCGAAGCCTTGATCCAACCCGCAGTTGACATAGTGTCGTTCAGACATTGCTGAATGCAGTCGTGGATGAAATTTAGAATGTTTCTTGCATCGGACGGCTCCTCCGAAAGCAACATGGCAGCCGGATTCGCATCAGAATTCAGACACAATAAATACTCGGAAAATGAAGACTTTGAAGCGAAGAAGAAGCTCGAACCGTAAGGAACCAAAATCAAAAGCCTTTCGACGAGATAGAAGAAACACTTGGGAGATATATAATCCTTCGCCGTCCAATTCACGTTGTAAGCTTCCTCTAATGCTCTGTAAAGCTCGTAACTCACTACTTCTCGATGCCCACATCGCAAATACTCAGCAAGATTTTCGAAGAAAGGCTTCCAACATGTAGAACTCTTACCAAGCCTTTCGGCAATCAGACAACGAATGTCGTGTGAAGGCATGCCCGATCCGAGTAGGATCATCGTCACTCGTCCGAGCTGCCCGTATGTGATCTCGTCACCCGAATTGCTAATATTAATATCGATAACGTGCTCAAGTAGATTCTTCGAAAGTTGAGTTCCCCTAGTATAAACCATGTTTTCGGACAACGACTGCCGTGGATCCAAAGGGAAAGCATTTTCGAAGTAGTTCATCGAGAGTTCGACGTAACCCTGCAGCTTCCCCGCTTCAGCTTTCTTCGCAGCATACGATTTCTTTTCGACGAAGAATTTCGCAATGTCGAAAATATAAATCAAGCATATGTTCAAACAGTCTTTCGACAAGCCCTTCGACGCAGGAAGCCTGTAAAATGATTTCAGAATTTCCAGCACGCGTAATCCCACAGAAAGAAATTCCTGCTGCCAATGCTTCCGAGCTGCGGATGCAAAATGGCGAGCATCGAGTATCGCTAACTTTCCGCTGTGAAGCACAAATCTTTCGTCGACATTCTTGAACCATGCCGCTTTACAGTTCAGAACGATGCATTTTACGCTCGTATCTTTCTGCAACCTCACTCCGAAGTAGTTAAAGCAAAATCGAACGATTCCTTCGCATTTGATAAAGTCCGCGCTCCCAAGGGAGTCTAAGCATTCCAAGATACTCAAACACTTCGTCTTCCATAAATTCCAGATGTAAAACAGCGTAGCAATCGAGACATGATTCCGCAAAATCCTTTCCTCCAACAAATCTGGAGTAACATCAGCTTCGACCTCGCCTTTCAGGTTCGCAGGATGTACTTCAAAGTGAGCATCTAGAAGCTTCCGGATGGCGATAATTTCGCCTACATCAGTCCCATTTTGCTTCGAATCAATGTAGCACTGCATCGATTCAGGAAGGCTTATCGTCCCATGGGACAATACTCGCGCCTCAGAGCAGACTGAAGAATGATATGCTTTGGAAACTCTCTGCGCAATCGATTTTGCTTTAGCTAAAAGGATTTCCTTCTCCGGGAAGGACTTGAGTGGCCAATCCTTACTACCTCCGGGCAGCCATAGAGAATTCGTAAGCACATAACAAAGAACAAGCGAGGCTGCATTTTTGAACTGTTCCGCCATTACAAGTAGATCGATCTCGCGCATAGTGTCCCCAATACGCTTTGCAATAACAGCAGCCTCATAGAAGTTTCCCATCGATTCCTCCAAAACTAACAGATCGGCAAGGCGGTCCAAAGACTCTAAGAAGTTGCGCTTGGACTCCATCGTCGGAAAAGCTCCAACGAATTTCATCAGCATTACATTATCCTTTCTGTCGTGACACTTCCTGGCGCATTTCTCCAAGAATTCATACGCAGTATCATTGATCTCAGTGATTCTTGCCATGATTATACTATTCCGTTGCGCTTCCTGTTTCCACGACTCGATGTATTGCAAGCCCAAGTCGAAAAGATCTCCGCTAGAACAGGCAGTCAAGCACTCATTGAAAAAGTTCCCCTTGGCGAAAACTTCAGCTGCAGTTCTGTAATTTTGAGCTAAACAGAAACATTCGCCGGCTTTCCTTAGCTCAGACACACCACCCATCTGCATATATATATTTCCTGGAATCCAAAACCGACTTCAGCGGAGGACTAATGACAACGTTATATATCTAACTATGAAAAGTACGACGATTATAATTTACCTGCTCTTTCATATTCTTCCAAGTCATAAAAGCATTCTGCTGCAGAATCAGCTCTTCCAATGGAATAAAATATTTCCGCAGCATTTCGAAGCAATGTACTCGCCTCGACAGGATTTGAACCTCTGAAAGAGTACGCTGAAGCTCTAAGACCAGAAGCTTTGGCGCGTTTCTCCCATGTTTCTTCACCGGCTTTTTCAAAGCACATAGATGCCACTTCGAAGTTTTTTTCCATAAACAGCTGCAAATACATACAGTGATCTTCGATATGATCAATGAAATTTTTTTTTTTTGAAAAAAAAAAAAGTATTAGCATACCAAGAACCAGTCTCCAACCATACCTTGATTCCCTGTGACTTCCACTCCTCGGCGCTGCTCGCCCTTTGCATAGCTTGGGCGAGTGAGTGATCGAGCTTCCTCACTTGCACAAGGCACAGTTTCTTCCAGTAATCAAGCATAGGCTTAGATATTTCCTCGATGTTCTCACAGATCCACAACCTCTGCCGAGTTCGAGTAATTGCCACATAAAGTTGCTTCAACTCTGAGCACAACAAATTGTGTCTTGATTGGCTAAAGTTCGGAAAGGACTTGGGAGATTCAGCATCAAGAAGTTCTCTTTCATTCAAAAATTCATACACAACTCTCCACTGGTTCCTCAAAGGCGAAGAACCGAAAAAGTTGTACAACAAGACATCCTGCAAAAATGTGAGGCAAGTAAAAGGCATTGAAATTAAGCTTCACGTGTCCATTAGTCGAACAAGGCCTGCAGAAGAAACAAATTTAAACACATTGCCAGCTAACCTGAAATTCGAGGCCTTTACACTCGAGTATCGTGAGAACAAGAGCTTGATTGTGAAGATACTTCGAGATTTCCATTTTCTCAGAATCATCCCTTACTAGTATGACCTGGTCGGCGCCAAAACCAACCCATTCTTCACCGGCACTAGCACTGTTCTGGAAAATTGATACGATCGAGTTCTCATCACTGCCAGGCTCCAGAAAAATGGGGGGCTCGCCATATATGAGACTCGTCTCCGGAGCCAAAACATCGATGGATTGTGGGAAGAAATGGGAAATGAGATCAGTCACACTTTGTGCTAATCTAAGTACTCCGGTGTGAGTCCGGAAGTTTTGTGATAGACTAAAGATATCAGATATCACCCCTTTCTCTTTTCTTCCCGAAGATTGTGAGCTCTTTGACTTCATGAAAAACTCATTGTAGAACAAAGACCTAATATCTTCAAACCGAAAGTCTATCCCTCTGGCAATTGTCTGTGCCGTATCGCCGGAGAAAACAAAACCTTCGTCAACATTGCTGCATATGTACCTGAAAAGGCATATTTGTCTCATGGTAAGGTCCTGCACTTCATCAATGTAGACAAAGTCCATTTTGTCACCGAGAAGTTCCCCTGATTCTTCGAGCCTGCGATGAACATCTAACACAAAGTCTGCCATATCAAATTCACCACGAGTCTTTTTCATTTTCTCATAGCTCTCATAGATGTCATATATCATATCCCTTTTGTCTGCAGTTAATGTCGACACTCGGCTATCAGATAATGACTGGTAGGCATGTCTGCTTCTCTTGATGTCACATTCTTCACCTTCTTGCAGCCCTCCTTTAATGTGAGACATTATTTCAGTGAACACTCTCGATAGATCGAGGCTCTTTGTGAGATTAGAATTGAAATGAGGCCAGTAGGACGACCGGAAGTGGTCGAATGTGACCTCTTTGTTCCTTAGGAATGCATCCAGGGCAACTGATCGTCGTCCACCATCATTTTGAGGGGAACATCGGAGCTCACGAAACCTCTCGAAATATGAATTTCCTATTGTGCCATCGAGCATCATCAGAAACTTGTGAAATGTTATTACCAGAGGATACTTATCTGCACTGATGCCAACAAAAGTGTCCGGAATATCTTTAAACCCGATCATGTCATCAATGTCTTCTACATCAGTAACATTGTCACCTCCACAAATTTCGCCCCTTGCAAACCTGTAAACATAGTTAAGCTCAAGACATATCTTTGAAATACTCAAAGTCTGTAATAAGAAAAGCAATGGTAGAGTAGATGTGTGTAGCACACCTTTTCAGCCGAGATATGTGCTTTCTTACAGCATAGCAGAGTTTAGGACTCACGGTAACGAACAGCTGGCGCAAAACATTCACCCTCGATCCACCTGATGTTTGAAAATCTCGAGAAACAATGTAGTACTGCTGTAGCTTCATGAAAAGCTTCATAGTTAAAATAGTTGTTTTTCCTGTGCCAGATCTTCCCAATATGAAGCTGCTCCGACAAAATCCTATGATGTCACGCTCCTCATCGGTGACCTCGAACGGGAGATCAACTTCTTGATCCTCGGCATCATACAGTAAATGATTTACAGTGTCACTTGATAAGGAATAAAATTTCATCAACAGCAAGCTTTCATTAACTTTTGAATTCTCAACACAACTTCCGCAGTCGGCAGCAGAAGCACTTTTGCTGTCGCTTGAGTTAGCATCGCTTGCATTCTTGTAACGGATTATATCCTTAGCTTTCCACCAAGTCTTCGGCACTTCCGAAGTCCTAAAAAATCGAAAAACAAAACAAAAAATTAAGGTGATCAAAGTTAAGCTCATTAGAAAACACTTCAATCAAGCTACGATCAAAATTTCCCACCCCTCAAAGAGTTTCTCGTTGCAGTGGCTGATAAAGTCATCCGTAAACATGGCAAATATGCCTTCAAGGCGATTCAAAACTTTGTGCACCTCTCCCTCAAGAAGTATGTCCCAAACTTTCAAAACTTGCTTGTAGTTCGATTCTTTCGTTAGGTCAATCGTGCACAAAATGTTGTACCTCTCAACCTTGAATCTTTTCACAACATGCGAAGATTTTTCGAACGTCCAATCGACATTCATCTTCGGGCGCCAACCATTTGCAAGTCTGATTAACAAACTCAAAGCCTGCTTTTTCACATAGGAAGGTTTCAATTTCTGAAATGATTTGCGGAAGTTGTCACTGAATAAAACCTGAAGATATACACAAGCATGGAAATTAAACAAAGATGAGATGAAGATTCAACGATAATATTCATAGTAAAAACCAGTATAGTACCTTCCATCTACAATTATGAAATAGCATACTGTCCGTGGCGAGAAATTCATCGAGCTGCTCCATCTCTTTCTTAACATCCATGATAGTCTTTCCAATATCTTTATCTTCATCAGCAATAAAGAAGCAGTCACGAAGCTTGGCATCTTTAATCAATGCTTCCCATACCGAACCTGGTTTGCGCAATGTTCTTTCGTTTCCTAAAATCCAAAGACAGTGCCTACAAAATACGAAACAAGAATCACAATACTAATTCAATAGAAAACATGGAATAAGAATGATGTACTGAAATCGCATGCTTACCGTGCTCTGGTCAATGCAACGTTTGCTCGTTGAGGACTAGACAAGAAACCAATAGATTCAACGTTATTCGACCTCACAGTCGATATAATTATGATATCTTCCTCTCCACCTTGAAAACCATCGATGGACTTCACCTTAACCACAAAATCATCAAAGTCGGCATACTTCTTCCCAATTTTATATCGAATTGCCGCGACTTGCGCATTGTAGGGAGACACTAAACCAATGGTAAGTTTCTCTGTAGGACACTTGGAGCTCCAAGCTGTTCACGAAATAAGAACACGACATGTTGGATGAATAAAGAGTTTCAGCTTCCGATCAAAAGAAAAAAAAAAAAAAAAAACAGAGTTTCAGCTTAAAAAACATTATTCTGAGCATGTACCTTTAAAGAGTTTCTGCACAATCTTCACTGCTACAGCTACCTCAACCATGTTTCTTCTACTGCGCCGGATCTCATCAAATTCCTCTTTCCCTCCACGAATGTCCATGAAGGAATACGGACCGAACATCCTACCTTTAAGGTAGTGTTTCTCATAGCTTTCACACCTTACGGCAGGAGCATCTAATATTAAGTTGCTGTAGAATCTCGAGTTAGGGAATCGACTAATTGACGGATGCATTCTATACTGCATATTAAGTAAATACTTGTGATGACCCAATGAGCTCAGTCGTTCAAACAAACTTCTCGCAAATCCAGCTTCTTTAGCCAACTGCACGTATAAAATCGAGTAAAGTTACAAGCATATCAAATAATCCATCTTTCATATACATAACCTAAACCTTACCTCGCTCATGACCGTTGCAGTTAGCTGGCATTCATCGCCGACTAAGATAGCACGAGTCACCTGACGGGTTTGAAGGGCTATGATTGATTCAGCTTCCCTTACTTGCGCAGCTTCATCAATGACCAGTAATTTAAACGGCTCCGTATCAACCGAATGCAGAATGAACGAGGATGAAACAGTGCAAAATATTAACCGAGCATTTTTTATACATGAATCTTTGCTTGCAATTCCATTGTTAACAAGCTCGGTGAGGGACGAGTTCAGATACTTCAAAATCGAAATGCACTGGCTTCTGATACGTACAAAGGATGATGCGCTTACTGACTCCTCCGAACCACTTGCTTCAAAGATCCTCTTCAACTTCTCGGATGTCATGCTACGATCATCTAACAACAAAATTTTCATGGACTCAAGAAGAGATATTACCTGCTCAATCATCTGAGCATTGCTCTCGGAAATGCAACTTCTTGGGAGATGAGTAAGTAATGTCGTTAGCGAAGATTCTAGATTTGGTGCCACATGTTTGAATCGTTCCCTAGCGAATTGTAGAAATGATTTGAGATCAGGTTGCTGAACATCATCGTTTTGACCCTCCTTCGCTTTGATGAGCTCGTTTTCTACGTACACTTCATGCAAAGACACCACGTTGGTCAGAAAATCAAGCATGGCGAAAACTGATTGCCTCCAGCCGGTTGCCGCGAGAGTACAATTGAAGAGAACTTTGACACGGTTGTCCAAAAAGATCTCCTCAATGTCCGGTCCAATTTTCAGATTGTCCTTATTTCCGAAAAGGAGAATGTCCCCTAAAGGACATACCAAGTCATCCTCGACAGAGTTCCTCACCAATGCCACAAGCCGCGACGCCAGTTCAGTAATCGCCACATTCGTCGGCGCACAAACCAGAGTCCTTACGCCCATTTTCAAGAGACCATACAGCAAAATACTCAATGTGGCAGTCTTTCCGGTTCCGGGAGGTCCCCAGACGAGCTCTACAGACGGCTTGTGGTCACATTCAATAGCGCCGAGAGTGGCGAAAATTGCCTTCCTTTGCGACTCATTCAACTTGGACATTAAAACAGAGCCGAGAATCTCCTCTATTTCGTCGTCGTATTTGGGATGACAAAATTCACAACGTTCATCATCCACGGCATTTCTGTCCAACACTTTTGAAATGATCTTCAGATTCCAATGCATGCGGAGCGCGCTCCAGATTCTTTCATTTGTCGTCACATTCATTAAGTGAACAGCATAGAGTGACTTATTTGAGTTATCCTCGACGTCAATGGGGACAGCTGTTTTGATTTTGAATACCAACGATGGTGAAATGGCGCCATCATCTTCCTCGTTGAATATCTTTATTACAGATGCTAATGTGTACGTCCAACCATCACCTTGTATGTCAGAATCAGTCTCCGGCTTCCTGTCTGAAATCAGGAGAATGTCGCCCGGCAAGGTTCTGTAAGGCTTCCCATCGCTATCTTTCACTATGTTCCTCCAAAGATCTACTTCAACATCGTACACCAATTTCTCACCATTCCTTGACTCACAAAGCTGAGTTAGTTTGGCAAATGGTGCTTTGTAGGCAACCTCAAAGGCGGAAGCTAGTTCAGACCGCGTCTCTTCTAGCAATGGGAAGACATAGGAATTGAGGTATTCGTCGACACTTTCAAACACATCTGGAATTGTCTTCACCTAAAGTAACAAATGACATAAGTAATTGTCAGAATATCATGAATAAACACACACTCCTAGTGATAGTTCTCTTTAAAACATTGTTGCATAATTACTACAGATTAAACATGTTCTTGACTACTTCACTTGATTCACATTTCTTACACATGCATGTATACATAATATATATATATATAGTTAAATTCAATACGGATAAGATCAATCCTAGAATCATAATTAATTCCATAATATCTGCCTCGATCAATTCACTCATTCAATAATAACCAATCCAACAATAATTACAAGTATAATATGCTAAGAACACTTACTAATTGTCAAAATACTTACTTCAAACATCATGCTTTTGAACCAAATGTTTCTTTTAGAAATGGTTTCATCCACAGTTGCTCTTTATGAAACTTTTTAAGACAACAACAAAACAGCATCCACACTCACACACCACATGCTAAACTGTCGGGGCATCTTTAGTTCCAGACTTTCGAACACAGGATTGAGTAAATAATGAATGAACAGACAAAAAAAAAACTACTAATAAACAATCATTCGGGAAATTGGTGATTGAACAATAAAAGGTTCGAAAGATCAAGAAAAACGACTATGAGAGAGAGAGAGAGAGCTGACATATTATTGCTGAAAAAACATTAAAAAAAGCTAAAACACCCAAAAAAAAGACAAAAGCTAAGACAGCCAAAGAACAAAGCAAAAACATACAGTTAGTTAATAAGAACAACGATGATATGTAAATGATCGATGTATGTATGTCGCGATTTTAGAAGAAGCTAAGGAAGGAAGGACCTGATGTCTGTAGAGATTGTGATCAAAGATGTCTCGACGAGACCAGGAAAACACCAAATCGATGAAGGCAACATGTTCAGCCCATCCCCCTCTCCCCTTCATTGTTCTGGTACGATACGAGGAGCATCAACTGTACATGCAAGAACACTAAAACTAGAGGTAAGGAAGTCTCTCTTTACCCTCCCCAATGGGTTTTGTTTTGCTTCCTTCGAAGCTAAGGGAAGAGACAGACTACAACAGGACACGAATACACACAATTAATGTCTGATTGAGTGAGTGGGCTAAAAAGGTGTCTCGAATCGAATAATAAACGACTGATGAAGATGAGAAGACTTTGCGTGGAAAAATGATGCCTGACAGACAGAGACTCTGCTACAACTACAGCTACAAGTCAGTCGACTACAACTAGTCTTAGCAAAAAGTAGAGTAGAGAGTGATTCAGCGTCCGTACAAACCCAAGGAAGGATGATCGATGGACTGCTTTGTGTTTTTTCTCGGGTGCTTCCATCACTCCAATGACGCAAGCTTTCCTTTTTCTTTTTATCTGCCTTTACTTTTTCTTCAGAGGAAATAATTAATAATTTTTTTATATTACTGTACGTACGGACACCTGCACTGTGGATGTTTGCTGGACTGTTTGACCCGAACCCGTCTCAGTCTGCTTCGGGTCTATGCTAACTCAAGTTTGATTGGACTGATGTTTTCTATTGAATTTTAATTTAAAATATACTCCATTTTAATATTATTTGTCGAATTTTTTTATTGAAAAAAATCAATTTTTGTTATAATATAACTAAAAGAATTTTACTTTGGTTTCCACGTAGAAAATTTATTAATTTTAATCTTATTATAATTAATTTTAATTCTACAGTTAATAAACTATAGAAATAACTGACGTAAATGTAACGGGGTTGATGTGACAGCTGACTTGAAGCTACACGGTGATGTTTGCTTCAGGTCGTGTATCTTTATATTTTACTCTAAAATTTTGTTTTTTGTTAAATTTTTTTAACAATAATATTTTGAATTTAAAATAGTTCATATAGTTAAAATGGAAAAAAAATTAATAGTAATTCTAATATAATTAAAATGTATCAATTTTAATTCAAATAAGAAAAGTTTTTAAGGGTGTGTTTGTTTGAAGGATTGGATTTTTATTCCACTATTCATCCAATTTTTCCCCGAAAAACATCAAATCAAACACCTATTTTTTATTTTTTATATTATACTAAAAGTTAATTTTATAATCAAAACATCGCATCAACACCTATTTATATCACATCATACAACTATTCAAATTCAAAATTTTTACTATTCAAATCCCAACTCAAAATCCAAACCTCCAAACAAATTCTTTTGAAAAATCTTGTCTAAAATTTTACTATTATCGGAAAAAAATCTCTTGAAAATATTCAATTACGCAACTATTTTTTATTTTGTATATTATAATATTAAAAATTAATTTTACATTTCAATACAATTATATGTGTCTACATTGAAATTATATTGAAATGTACAATAAAATTTTAATATAATATATAAATATAAAAAATAGCTGTATAATTTGATGTTTGTAAAAGAAATCTTTTGATAAAAAGTAAAATTTTAGACAAAATCTTTCAAAAAAAAATATTTATAAATTTTTATAGTATTTGAATTAAACTTTATACATTTTAATAATATGACGATTACTATTGATTTTTTTTCGTTTTAACTATGTCAATTATTCTAAATTCAAAATATTTTTTTTTTTTAAAAAAATACTCCCTCCGTCCCATTGAAATGTTACTATTTTCTATTTTCGTATGTCCCAAAACAAATTTATCATTTCCAATTTAGTAATTGTACTACCTACCTAACATAATAAATACCCTTTCAACTTGCAATATATTACACAAATGTTATGACACCATACTAATAGGAATATTTTTGTCTTTTTTAATACAATCCAATATAACAGTAATATTCAAAACTTTACGTGCAAAAAGAAAATGTCACCCTTCCAATGGGCCAGAGGGAGTATAACAAAAACAAAACAAAATTTTAGACAAAAACAGAGAAGTACACGACCGTGTAGAATTAAATATGATCGTGTATAATAATACACTGAAATATATATGGTCGTGTGACACCATAGCCATGTAGTATACAAGTTAGTTATCACGTCAATTCTGTTACGTTCACGTCAGCAATTTTCGTTAGTTTTTTAACGTTGGAACGAAAATTGATTGAAATTGTTTGTATATGACTAAAATTGATGAGTTTTTTATATTGAGACCAAAATTGAAAAATTTTGGTTATATTGGGCAAAATTGATTTTTTTTTCTTTTTTATTTTAATTTGATTCATAATTGTTCATATGTTTGTATTTTTAGGGAAATATTTTATCAATTTTTGTCTCAATATTCATTAATGTTATTATCATTATAAACAATTTCAATCAATTTTAGTCTCGTTATAAACAATTTCAATCAATTTTGGTCCCACCGTTAAAAATCTAACAAAAATTGTTGTCGTGGACGTAACGGAATTGACGTTGCAGCTAACCTGAAAACTACACGGTCATATTGTCACACGATCATGTATATTTCAATGTACGATTATACACGGCTATGTTGTCACACGATTATGTTGAATTCTATACGGCCGTGTACTTTTCTGTTTTGGTGTAAAATTTTATTTTTTTATTATATTTTTTTAGAAAAAAAAATATTTTGAATTTAAAATAGTTGATATAGTAAAAATGAAAAAAAAAAATTAATAGTAATTATTATATAATTAAAATGCATCAATTTTAATTCAAATATAAAAATTTATAAGATATGTTCTCTTGAAAGATTTTTACTAAAATACTACTATTCATCAAATTTTTTTCTTACAAATAGAATTTTAGACAAAATATTCCAAAAGAACATATTCGATAAATATTTATATTTGAACGATACATATTAATTATATTATGATTATTATTGATATTTTTCATTTTAACTATATCAACTATTATAAATTCAAAATATTTTTTTTTAAAAAAAATAGTATAACAAAAAAATAAAATTTTAACCAAACCAGAAAGGTACACGGCCTTGTAAATTTATACATGGTCGTGTTGTTACACGGTTATGTACCACATTTTCATTAGTTTTTTAATGGTGTGAATAAAATTGATTGAAATTGTTTATAATAAAACTAAAATTGATGAGTTTTTTACATTTGGACCAAATTTGATAAGTTTTAGTTATTGAGATCAAAATTAATTTTTTTCAGTATGTTTATTTTGATTAAATTAATCAATATTAAATATATTTAATAAATATAAATTTAATTTAATTGAATATTTAATGTTTTACTTGTAAAATTACACAAAACTATTTTATTTGAGCATGAATGATACATGTAAATAATATATATTATACATCAAAGCATATATGATATTTTATGATACAATATATAGAAATATACATATTTTTATTTTTTTTTATTGTATACATTGATCCATAGTCCCGGCGCTTTTTTATTTATATTTTTTCAATTTATTTGATTAAATATATATATTCAAAATATTTTTATTTATTTTTAATAAACAAATATTATTATTTATTCTAGTTTATATTAATTATAAATAAGTAAATATTTGCTCCGTCCAAGAAATTTAGTCTTTTTGAATTCGATATGCGAATTATAAAAAATAAATATTTTATTGATAAGTAAAAAAATAGTTCGGGTTATTTTTAAAAATTTAATTATAAATTAAAGAGAATAATGATAATGTAATAAAATAAATGGTATTTATCGTAACAAGTGTTAAACGAAGGATAATAATTAAAATTTGAACTTTTGACTTTTTCATATATAGTAATTCGATAAATTTAACGGACGGATGAAAAATAAAAATGAGAATAAATTTGACGGATATAGAGTATTTCTATTTAATTGTATTATAGTACTATAAATTACTCCTTCCGTCCTATTGTTTGATTAGGGATATACGGTTTTTAAGGTTATAATATTTAATTAGTTGATAATAGTATTTTATAATATTAATTTACTATCTTTGTCCCAAGTAACAATTTTTTTTTTTTGACATAATTTTTTTAATATTAATATTATATTGACTTGTTGTAAAAAAAAAATAAAAATACTCTGTAAATAGTATATTTTGGTAGATAATTACTAACAAAAAAAAATAGTACTATTGTTTGAGTATAAACAGAAATAGAAAATGAAATGTATGGGATAGATAGAGTAATTTTTTTTTTTTCTTTTATGTAAAAGGTATTGTTATGAATTTTAAAATAAGAAATAATATACTCCTATGATTAAAAGAAATTTACAGTATGTATTTAACTATTTTAAAATTTATATTTTAATAAAATATATATATATAATATAGATATTATTTTATAAATAATAAAATTGTATATAATACACATAAATAAAAAAAATACTTTATTTATTTATGTTTAACATAAACTAATTTTATAAAAGATGAAGAATTTTAATTATAAATAAAAATATTTGTTTATTAAGAATAAATATAAATAAAGTGGTATTGAATGAGTTTATGATGTTGTATATTATAAAATTAATTAAATTGATTTATACTACTAAGTTAAGCATGATTTAAATTAGTAAAATTTATCAATTATAGAAGCGTATAATTTGTTATGAGATATGAAAATATTATCATTTGTTATGAAATCGAGAGAATAATAAGTTTTACAAAATAATATTTATAATTGTGTACTCCCTTTGTACCATGTAGTACTTTGCAATAATTTTAAAATAAAAAATAATTAACTCCATATAAATATACATTATATTTTTATTTCATTCTATTGTTCAAATAAAACAAAAAGTAATTACACATTTTTTTTTATTTTTATTACATTACTTAATTTTTAAAATATCTTAATATTAATTCACCTATTTTCGTATCAAAAACCAAATATATGAGCTTAAGGGGAACGAATAGAATACATTTTAATAAAAAAATACTATTTAAAATATTTAAATATATATTCTAAAATTTTTCAATTATATATATATATATTAATTTTTATTTTAAAAATATCAATATTATAAGTCACATAAAAAATAATAATATAATTTAATACAATTAATTTACTAAATTATATTTGGTAAATCCTATAGGCCGGCTCCCTTTAGATATAATAAATTCTTTTGAAGACTTTTGAAATTTGAAAAGTTAAAAAAAAAATACAAAATTAGTATTTGACTTATATTTATTTTATAAGAAAAAAAAATTGATTGATATAATATTTTTTAAAAAGTAAAAAATATAAAGTAAATGAAAATTTATTAAATAAGCAAAGTCCAAATGTTTCGAGGGAGGTAATATCAAATAATTTTATTTATTTATTTTATAATATAATAATAGAGAAATAGGGGTTGCCTAATTATTTATTTATTTATTTTTTATTTTTGGGGGAGGAATCAGGAATGGCATGTCAACATAGTCCCCACATGGTTGGAACCATCTAGGCAGGTCTACAGTCTACTGACTACTGAAGCCGCTATGAATTTATTATTGTAAAACCTCCATCGTCTAGTTTTGATCGCGTCGGAGAGACTTTACTTCGATTTCTCCTTCCCTATTTAATCGAAGCCCAATCGATAATCCCCAGGTGGAGGAGATGCTCTCCAAGTTCCAATTACTGACATTTTCACCGACGTTCAATTCCCCGACTATTGCAAGAAAGGTCTCTTCTCCGCGAATAGCTGCGTTTGCTGCCAAATTTGGATCTCCAATGGAATCGGCTTCCTATGCCACGTCGTCTGGCGCCTCGGCCAAATTGCTTTTTAGGCAGCTGTTTGAGAAGGAATCGTGTACATATACTTACCTACTTGCAGATGCTTCTCACCCTGATAAACCGGCACTGGTCTCTCTCCTTTTGCTCTGGCCTTTATATAAAACTTGAATTTTTTGTTCTCGTTTTCGTGTCTTTCTTGCTCTGTGAAATTTTAGAATGCTTGCTTGGTTGTTTCACTGTGTTTGGTGTATTTGGGTTAATTGGGATTTTTCGCATTTTGCTGCTGTATGTTGGTTCTGGTTAATTGATTTTTCATGTTTTCTTGCCTTTTCTATTGGTTTAATGCTTATTTATGTGCTTGGACAAAATTTATTTGATTGCAGATTCTGCTTTTAGATCCTCTTTCAATAAATGAAATTTTTGAAGCATTCATTGTTATGCTTATATGCAAAATTGTAATCTTTGCGTTTTTGTGTGAATTTAAATACTATTGAAGAGTTGAAGCAATTTGAAATATAAAGTACTGGATGTGTGATTGGATTGAAAGGTTGGCCAATGCCTTTTTTAGGGTGTGCTTGGCATAGGTTTGAGAATTGGTTTTTGGGGGTTGAGAATAATAAAATTTGGAAGTAGAATAGTTGTTTGATGTAATATAAATTAATATTGATATTATATTTTGAATGTGTTAGTTTTTTATGTTATACTATAAAGAAAAATAAACCAAGACATTTGATACGATGGTTTTAGGAGGTAAAAAGTGGTGGATAGTGAAAACCTGAAGAAATCTACAACCAATGCGAGTGAAATTTTCGAATGAGTTGAAATATGTATAGAGGTTAATGGCTTGAGTGATTATTGGCTCGATGCTTTATTGAAGTTGCACTAAATTTTTTAGTTTCAAAGGTAATAATCTCGTAGATTTCCAGCACCTATGTAATATCTGATTGTTTAGTGTTCATGGTACATTTTAAGATCTTGATTTTTCTGTGCTGGTGCAGCTGGTTGATCCTGTTGACCGCACAGTAGACAGGGATATTTCTCTCGTGAAAGAATTGGGCTTGAACCTTATATATGCAATTAATACTCATGTACATGCAGATCATATCACCGGGACAGGCTTGCTTAAGGTCAGGTTTTATGTCCTATGCTCGGTGAATACAATAAAGAAATAGCTTGTTTATTTGAACTGAAACACCCTTCGAAGATTCATCAGTGGGAGAAAGTGATGATTTCTAATATATGGTGCTTATTGAGTACATGATTACTTATTTAGCTTCATGGTTCTAATTTTTGAAATTGTATGCAAGCCTGACACTGCATTTGTTATGGTTATATTCTGCAGAATAAGATTCCTGGGGTTAAATCTATCATCTCAAAAGCAAGCAATGCAAAAGCTGACCTTTTTGTCGAACCTGGCGACTTAATTTATTTTGGTGGTCTTTTTCTAGAGGTACATGATTTGGCAGCCAATTATTGTTGAATGTATGGTAAATTTAAATCTATCATTTGTGTGAGGTCAATAAGAGCTAAAATCGAGCAAATGCTCTATAATTTTTCAAGCTCGAGCTTGAGTGTGATCTGAACACACACCTTAAAGTTTGAATGCAGGTTAGAATTTGACATCAAACTAATTTATTGAGTTATCTGTAATAATTGACGATATATATTAAAAATAAATAATAGGTGTGTATTTTTGTCGTGTTCACTGAACTGATTATGTGTATTGTTTGGTTATGGCTTGAAATTAATTTGAAATAGGATGTTTCATTTGAGTTTTTTTGTTTAAATAGTATTTTGATGTGATGTTTTGTAAAAGAAAATAATGTACTTCCATTGAAAATTGTGCAAGATGAATAGCGTTGATTTTGATTTGAAATATTAAAAGAACAAACCCTTGATAAATGCAAACCATTAATTTTGATGTTGAGGCTTGAAAAGTAAGTCAAGTAGCTTGAATGTGAGCTTGGGTTTGAATTACTCGAGTTGGAGTAGTGTATGCTTTGATTATTTTGAATTGAGCATCAGTTAATTTTGAGCCCCGACTCATTTCTTACCCTCAATCCTTGTGTATGCGGAAATTGAATTGATTATTATGCAATCTGGAAGTCAATTGCACAATGCACCATCTTTTAACTTAAATGTAATAGCAGGCTATGAGCCTATTAATCTCCATATCCTTTTTGCTCGACCAACTCAAGTCCTGTCGTGCTTTATCTTTGCAGGTCCGTGCGACCCCAGGTCACACCCAAGGCTGTGTTACCTATGTCACGGGTGACAGGCCAGATCATCCTCAACCACGGATGGCTTTCACCGGTGATACTTTGTTGATACGTGGTTGTGGCAGGACTGATTTTCAGGTACTGTTTGCTTCACAAGAATACCTTACTTCAAGAACTGCCACTTTGTGAGAAAAATACTCAAACTCAAACACTTCTTTAGTTTTTTTATCTGATATTCTGAAGTAATTTATAACAAGAAGCTTGGCAGTATGCATCAAATGATTCACTCGGAAAACATGATCTGGAGTCATTTTTCATCTTTAACTTAAACACTTTGAGATTTGTTATCCTTTTGTAGAGTGATGCCGCGCAAGTGCAATTAATTTTCTGGTTTATAATGTTTTTGTTTCTCTCATCGAATACTTATTGTTATTATTCAGGGCGGAAGTTCTGAGCAGCTTTACAAGTCAGTTCATTCACAGGCAAGGACTCGAATGCCATACCATTCATAATTGAATTAAACTGCTCACTGCATATAGGTATATTCAATCAATACTAAAAACCTTCCAAGCATATTTGTAACTTGCTCAGGCTGTTCATTCGAAAGCAGATCTTCACATTGCCGGGAGACACACTGGTGTACCCTGCCCATGATTACAAAGGGTTCACTGTAAGCACGCTTTTGTTTTCTTGTTTGTTTTCGTGTCTATTCACGATTGTATGCATACAACTGAAATTTCACTTCATTTAGGCGAGCACTGTGAGAGAAGAAATGCAGTACAACCCGCGTCTGACAAAAGATGAGGTGATTCCAATCCCCCCACCCCCATGTTTTTCGTAAATGAACATCTAAGTTAACTCTGAACACACATTTTATAGGATACTATGAAAGGGCTGGGTCTACTGATTCTTGTAATTTTCATGTTCTTTGGCTGAAGCCACTTTAAGACTTTAAAAATGCTCCAATTTTTGTACATTCTACGGTAGCTAATGTTGAATTTTTGCAGGAAACCTTCAAAAACATCATGGCAAGTAAGTGATCTCAACCCGCGCCAATTCCATCAAGCTGTATGTATCAATCTTCTTCTGACCATAATGAATAACATTTGATCTGGCAGATTTGAACTTGTCGTATCCGAAGATGATAGACATTGCCGTGCCTGCCAACATGGTCTGCGGCTTACAAGATATTGAGTCAAAGGCCGCTGCATGATAGACGGATGGCGCGGCACAGCCTACAGTCGGGAGGTAGGGAAGAAGAGGCATTGCCATTACAAGGTACTATTTTTTCTGGGCAAGAGTGTTGAATTTATTGCTTAGCAAAAGCCTTCAGCCTAGAAAAAACACTTTCCTTAAAAATACCAATGCAATATAATGTTTCGAATAAGAAGCTTTCGCCTATCGAAAATCTTCTCTACACAAACTTTTTAGCCATTGTGACATTAATGTTTAAGATTTACATCTCTCTCTCTCTTTAGCCGCTATTTCTTCAATGCCCTTTGAGTAAACATTTAGCTGAACAAAATAACTGTAAATTATGCTACCAAACAATTCACATTAGGCAAATCATATGCACATGCAAAACTTAGAAGGGTCGAGATTTTGAACACATGATCTCATATGTCCACCAAGTGGCACTGACCATGCGGACATATGTGCCCTTCAGTATGCAGAAGGATAAAATATGCAAAAGTTCACTTATCAGATTATTTTAAGACAGTTTTTAATTACGGAATTACAATAATAATAAAAAATATGACTACGGGATTAAAATAATAATTTTTACTTACATTATTTATAATTAAAAATAGAGCAACAAAATTAGGAAGCACCTCAATTTGTAAACTAGGGTAAGTAATGGATATAATAGTATCGTGATTTTATTATTTACATTAAAATACTATTTTTTTTAAAAAAAATCGTATTCAAATATTATGTGGCATAATTAATCCGAATAAAAAATAATAGTATTATACTTTTATACAATATCCAAAAAAATGTGTTCCAAGAATATAAAATTAATCTATGAAATTATAAATTGGAATAGAATACAAAACTAACTAAAGAAACAAAATTCAATTGAATGAAAAAAAAAAAGAATGAAAAAAAATAAGACTCGATTGTCACTCCCTAGTTCAAGAAGTAGCATGTCTCCGGAAATCGGCAAACAACGGTAGCTGCATACAGCAGTAGCCAGCGGCGACGTCCTCCTCCGGAGGTAAAGAAGGCATCGGACAAATTGACGACGAGATCTTCCTGAAAATTCGTAAGCTATTCTCCAAGGATGACGTTATCACTTATGGATTGGCTTAGTCTACAACCTTTCACAACGGTGAATGACTACTAATCCAATAGTCTTTAAACAAATTTCAAACCAACAGATTCTAACACCAAACCCTAACTTTACACTCCGATCAAATTCCCGAATACTCGACGCACAAAGAAAGAGAACTCACCTGAGAAATCAATGAGAGTAAGCAGTTGTAACTAACACCAAGAAAAGAAACTCCGAAAACCCACCAAGAATCACGCGAAAGAAGGATGAAGAGAGGGTGTGTTTGGCAATTAGCTGATAATTGTTAGCTGATTCGATTACCTGTTAGCTGATTCAATTATCTGGTTTGACTAACTAATTCGATTAGCTCTTTGTATTAAAATGTTTGATAAAATAGCAGTTCGATATTAGTTGTTTATACGTAAAATAACAATTTTGGACATTTTATATGTTATTTTCAATATATTTAATTGAGTTTTTCTAGTGGATAGACTTTTTTTTTAGAATTTTATTATTAATTTAAAAAATTAAAAAATTTTTTTATTAAGATATTTATTTTTATTCTTTTTAAAATATTTTGTAAAGAACTAATGCAAATTTATTGAAAAATATATAATTTTTTTCATTAGAAATAATATAAATATAAAAAAACAAAAATTATTTTTATTAGATTAATTTTTAATCAATATATATTTACATTAAATTTATAATTTTAAATTTTTCTAATAAAAATATTATGTGATAAAAAATATTATATAAATGAATCAATAATATTAATATTTTTATATTATCTTTATTCTAAAAAAATTTAAAACAATTTATAAATAAGATAATTGACATATAAAAAAAATAATTATTTTAACTTATTTTGTATTTAATGTGTAGAGAAAAAAACTGTCCACGTTCTACTGCATGTTACATTCTGTTGTAAAAAACTATTTATTTGATTATTTATTCAAATAAAATAAATTGATCAAATAAAATGCGGGACAAATAATTTATTCTTCTTTCACCTATTTAATTAAATACCCAACAATCCCCACATGAAAGAGAAAAGCGATGACTCGATGAAAGAAAGATCGATGAATTATGCATAGGATAAGGAGGATTTCCTTTGAACTTTCCCTTGAACGGTACGTAATCTTACCAATTGTCCAATAGACACGTTGTCCTTGAACTGTTCAATTTTCTAGTAAGTGGGCTACATACCGACACAAAATTCATGTGTCTAATTCGGTTCACATTGTTTGGTCCGTTTTGGCCATGAAACCCGTCCTGGTTTCGCGAGAATTTCTAAAGAACTGAGCCTGAACAGTTCTCATTTGAAGCGGCCCCACTTCTCTCTTACATAGGTGATCTTTCAAAATTTTAGAGTAATACAATACTCAATTAGTAATCATTAAAGCAATAATTTACTATCCTCTCTACTCTGTCATTATTCGTTAACAAGAATGGGTTGAGACTTTTATCCCCCACAGTAACACACATAAGTCTTATAGGTAGGTTATCTCATGGAACCTAGTTTTTGGGATCTCCAATCTTTCTAGGTCAGATTTTCCTTTATAAAACTTTTTCCTCAGCAGGCTTGAGCCTATTCCTCTAGTCAGTTTGTAAAATGCATCACAGTTTAACCATTTGGTTGGTGGATCCGCTAGGTTGTCTTTTGGCGCAACATGGTCTATAGCAATAATTTTAGTTGTGTTAAGTTATCTTATGGAATTGTATCGACGACAAATGTGTCGACTCTTTCTATTGCACATTGTACTTTCTACTCTACCAATAACAGATTTACTATCGTAGTAAAGGGTTATGACAAAGACAAGTTTGTCTCATTCTCGAACATCTCAAAAGACTGACAAATCCATTTCGCCTCTTCTCCAACATCTCTCACGTCTGCATAGCCATTAATGCATACTGGCAGACACCGGTATAGAGAGTCGCTTAAGCCATTCAATATATAATTTTTTCTTTTGCACATCAAATCTGAGTGTTTCATGACTTTCAGAATTTGTGTGTGTGTGTGTGTGTGTTTTTTTTCTTCCGAGGTCGTTCCGGCATAACAGGTGCGGCCTCCATTAGCCAGTCTGTCCATTCAGCATGGTCAGATAAAACAACATATTCCGTTGCCATATTTTAAAATTCGTACCATTGAATTTTTCTGGCTTCTTGGTTGCCGCAGCAACAGGCTGCCTGAAAGTTGCAGCGACAGACTGCGTTACATGGTCGCAATAGCAACAGGTTGTATACCAAGTCATCTTGTTGCTGTCTGGCAGACGCAACAGGTTGCGACCCTGCACAGGTCCTGCAGCCGTATGGTGTGGACGAGGCAGAACAACAACATACTATTTCACACGGGTATCAACAAGATCCCGTTTTTTCCTCCAGCCAATAGACTAGTTGCAGGAGGCAACAACGGGTTGCGCTCCCTCCATCGCAGCCTTGAAGATCTTGTTCATACGCTACCGGCGCAGCTTTTCGGCATTAGCCCTTTAGGCTGCCTCACCGTTTGGACTGGGTGGTTTAGGTCATGGAATACAGATAACATAGTGTGAAACGCTGGAGTTAACCTCTTTGTCCTCTTCCCCAACTGTGCCAATGTGAATATCATTTGTTCAGATTTATGTCGCTTCCACCACGGCTGTCCGGATTAGCGGCGGATTTGGGGGATTTCGAGCCATCTCAGATTCCATTCCGAATTCGCTGCAAGATTTTTGGAAAATATATTTGGACGAAATCTGAGATATGACTAAATTCGAAAACAAAAAATAAAATAGATGCGAAATTAAATTCGAGCCTCACGTAGCACGCGATTTCCTTGAAGCGAATTCGGCCCTCCACCGATCGCCTCCCATGATAGAACGAATTATCAACATAATATCAGATTCCGCAAAACGAATTAGAATGGAAGATAAATTTTCAGAATGTATTTTGGGAATTGATATTACTGTCTTCCATTGGAAATTGGAGGAAAATATAATATTTTCTATTATATTTTCCAACTTATTTTGTATTTAATTAGAAAAAAAAATTGTCCACGTTCTACTGCAAGTTGCAACAAACTATTTATTTGATTATTTATTTATTTATTCAAATAAAATAAATTAATCAAATAAAATGTAGGACAAATAATTTATTCATCTTTCACCTATTTAATTAAATACCCAACAATAGAAAATATATTCAAATAACCAATAAATAGTGTAATAAAAATATATAAAAGAATTAATTAATTTTAAGGGCAAATAAGAAATAAAAAAATTAAAATAAAAAAGTTAATATGAGATATACAGTTTTTTCAAAATTAGTTTTTTATCCAATAAGATAATTTAAAACGCTGATTTACCAAACACCAAAATTAGCTGGTTTATTGGTCAAACAACTAAAAGTCTTCGATAAGCTAAAAGCAAAGCTGTTTACCAAACAACCTCAGAATCACATGAGAATTGCTTGGGCCAAATTCCAATATTTTCCACCAATTGGCCATGCCTTTTATGCGAGGGTTGCTCCCGTAAGGATACATCACAACCAAGTGACCATTTTCACTTAGTTGAATCGCATGAGAATTGCTCGGGAAGATTCACTAATGCACTGTGAACTTACACTCACAAACAAGCATTAAGAAACTCTGAAGTCAAAAGCAAATATTAGTTCTGCAATTTATTCAAAAAATGGGAGACTTAATGCAAAAACCGACAATATGTGAATCCCACCTAAAAAATAATCACAGAGTTTATGCAAGATGACAAAATTTATACATGTAATGGCATATCCAGTGACAGAACCAGCCGTAAATTTTCAGAGAGGGAGGGAGGGGGTAAAATATTGGTTTTTCTTTATCGATTCAATGTTGTCTTTTTCGATTTCTCAAAAAAAGAAAAAAATTATGAAAAATTAAATAATTTAGAAAAAAAATCAACAAAACTACATAAAATTTAATAATTTTTATTAAAAATGATAAAAATTAGAAATGTATATTACCAAATGGACAAAATTTTTGTTATTTTTTACACTATAATAGAAATTAGGGGATAAATTAATAGAAGATACACAATTTTATTATTTTTTACAATAAAAAAAATATATTTTGGAGGCTGGGATCAGTGGTCCCTAGCCCCATGTAGGTCCGAGTGTGGGCATATATCAGACTCAGAAACAAAGGTAGCAATTCGGGCCAACTCAATTTTTTGTGTTGGGCCGGTCCG